GAGGGCCATCTTAGATTTAAAGCGTCTCAACTGTACTCTAGTCTACCGCAAATTCAAGATGAGTACGTTACAATCCATTCTCCTTAGCATAAGAAAGGGTGATTTTTTGACTTCCATCGATTTAACAGAGACCTATCTTCACATACCAATTAGATCTTCACGTTCCAAATTTCTCAGATTCTGCTACAACAACCAACCTTTTGAATATGTCACCCTGCCCTTAGTGTTGTCATCGGCCCCAAGAACTTTTACAAAAGTTCTGGCAGCTCTGGCCGCACACCTTAGGAGCAATCCAGTTAGGCTCCAGTGCTACCTGGATGACATTTTGATTTTGTCCTCCTCATCCAGGCAGGCAGAATTGGATACCCAAATTACATTGTGAACCCTGCAACAACATGGTTTTTCCATTAATTGGGCAAAGAGCCATTTGTTTCCCTCAACCCGTTTATCTCACCTGGGCTCGATAATAGACACAGTAGAAGGAAGAGTGTTTCTTTCTTCTTTTTTTTTGAAAATTTTATTTGGGTTTTTACAAAAAAAACCATAATACAAATAAAACATCTTTTTTTTTTGAAAATAGCATGGTACCGGATTACACTTCTTCATACAGACACAAACTCAATTTCATGCTCATTTTTGTGTTCTATTCCATATCTTATTACTGTTTTACATTTTCTGTCTGTCTTGTTTCAATTTCATATTATCTTTTCTCATTAAACAAATTTTCCCCTGTAGTTACTAATTGGAGTATGACACCTTTATATCTTTTAATTTTATCCATTCAACTCTTATATAAGCTTCAATATAGATCTTTAAGATTACAACATTCAATATAATACATAACTTCCAATCGCATTCTGCTTGGTACATTCTTAAAATACACACTATATTCTTAAAAAAAGATTATAAATATATGTAATTAAAACACTCATTCCATTCCAATTCAATTCTATCATTAATATTCATTAAAATTTTAACATCTTTAACATTTCTTTTCAATTAAATATCATACTTCCTTGGGAACACTTATAAGCTTTCCATAATTAATTTTTCCACCATATTTCTCTTCACTTATATTTTATAAATCATTAATAATAATTAAAATGTTCCCATCCTTTCCTAATTTAATTCTCTCATTCGTTTTATTTCATTTGTTTATTAACAAACATTCCATTAGATTACGATAAATATTTTATCCATCATTTTAAGCATATTTTCAAAAATTATTTCTATTTGTAATATAACAATACTATCTTATGTACCTTTGCAGAATCCCTTTTACAATTAAGTTTTCACCCATTATCTCTAAACAGGCTTATACTTTCAATTCTTATACCTTTGCCCTGTTTCTCTATATCTTGTTTCTGTCCTTTATAACTTCTTTTCCTTTCCTTCTTCCCTCTCTTCTTCTCCCTCCCCTTTTTACCCCCTTGTCTCTCTACTTCTAATTCTCTCTTCTGTAATCCCCTCTTCTGTTGCTTTCTAATATTATACTTATTTTTCAAACTATTCTTTTTTTTGGTTGTTTTTTCAAATCTTAAACTTTTCATTCTCTTTCCCCCCTTTCCTTTCCCCCCCCCCCACATAAAATTACTTGATCATTAAAGATGGCTTCTTCTTTGTCCCAATCTTCTTCTGCAAGCATTTCTTGTTGTTTCTCATAGTTCCAGATCTCCATTTCTAAGAGTTGAAATACGAAGCCAAAAGAACCTCTCCCTTCTTGTGCATCTTCTTTATACTTTTTAAGATCCATTTTCAGTTCTTCTAAAAGTGGTGCCATTTTAAAAACTTTTAAACAACCACCCGATTGATTTTAGCCATTTAAATGCAATAACCAAAAATCCAGAGATCACCAAGTAATCCAAATAATCCCAAGATATTTCTTCTTACTTCTTTTTTCCACTTTCTCTTCCTGGGGTTCTACTATTTTGTTGCCAAGTTTCAGTTAAAATGTATCTTTTAGGAATCTTGTTGAGGTTTTAGTTCCAGGCAGTCTCCTCCATTTTTCCAGATCCTGCCCTTTTATTCTTTTTCTCTCCTTTCCTGCTTTTAAAAGCTTTTAAATATCCAGAAATCTTTATTATCCCTTTGACATTTTATTTTCAGCTTAAATGCCTGCTGATGTCAAAGTAGATTTTTTTTCCAATTTCTTGCTTAAGTATCTTAGCTGTCAGTGTATGGAAGGGAAGAGAAAAAAACCAAAACCAAATCCTTTCCCTTCCCTCTCTCCTTCGCTGCTTCAAAATCTTCTTTGGGAACAATGTAATTTTTTTTATAGTTTAAATTCCAGGGTACCTTGCATTTTTGCTTTTGCAGTTTAACCCAGTCAACCAAGACTTTCTTTTCTTATCTTCCTCCTGCACATTCTTTTCCGGTCGAGTTCTTCTTTGAGGTGGCCATTTCTGACCACCGCTGCAACCGCCTTCAGGAAAGGGAATAATGGCTAGCTGAGGAGGAGAGATGCAGCTCTCCTCAACCCTGCTGGCAGTCTCCCCCCTCTTCACCACCTCTATGGGGTGGCTTAGCCCTGAAACCGGCCGGCTTGGGGCGCTCCGATGGCGAGCATGGATCGAAACCGTGCATGATCACGGTTTCGGTCTGTCAGCGAAGAAACTCAAACCAGAAGTCTGCCCGAAGGAAGAGTGTTTCTATCCCTTGAGAGACAGGAGAGCATTAAAACCTTAGCTCAGTCTATCAGAACCATCAAAAAGGTTCCTCTAACCAATTTGTCTAAACTACTGGGAAAAATGATCTCCTGTATTTCTCTTGTTCCTTGGGCTCAATTCCATACTAGATCGCTCCAATGGTATCTGCTTCCATTCCAAAGATCGGGACTAAGAAATTCCAGGTCCAGAGTGTTAGTTCCTACAAAAGTCCAGCTATCTCTACACTGGTGGATGGCTCCAGCCATCAACCAGGGTTGCCCACTGAAAGAGCCCCAAAGACTCACCATAACCATGGATGCCAGCCTGTTCGGATGGGAAGCTCATTCCCAGTCCCTCTCGACTCACGGGCATTGGTCAACTGCAGAGCAATTGAACAGCGTAATTGGTTGGAGCTCAGGGCAGTCCACCTGGCCCTTCGCAGTTTCCTCCCACATATTCAAAGGACACACATACTAATACTGACAGACGTCACAACAAAAGCACATATCAACAGACAAGGGGGGACCCACTCAAAACATCTCATGTGGGAAGCAGAGAGACTGTGCCTTTGGGTGGAAAGGAACTTAGCCTCTATCAGAGTGGAGCATATTTCCGACCTGACAAACACACAGGCAGACTGGCTAAGCAGGGCCACAATCGAGCAATCAGAATGGCGTCTGCATCCGGACCTGTTGCAGGAGGCAGTCCAGAGATTTGGTCTACCAGTTATAGATCTGTTCGCTTCTCCTCTGAACTTACAGCTCCCGAGATATTTTTCAAAGTACCCATACCAGGGGGTGGAGAACATCAACACCCTCCAGTGCCGGTGGCCACGGGGTCTCCTATATGCCTTCCCCCCCTCTCCCATTGATACCCAAAATGGTACAAAAACTACTGGACGAGAAAGCGGACCTGATCTTGGTGGCATCCTACTGGCCCAGGAGGCCATGGTTTGCGGATCTCAGGGGCCTGTCCTCAGAAGAACCATGGAAAATTCCACCACACAACATTCAGCTCACCCAAGGACCGATCCAGCACCTGGACCCTCAATGGCTCCACCTAGTCATTTGGAGGTTGAGCGGCAACATCTAAGAAAGGAGAATTTTTCGGCCAGGGTGATCAATACCATTCAAGCGGCTTGGCGCCCTTCTACAAGCCGTATATATAATGCCACATGGACTATCTTTTTCAAATGGTGCACCAAATCCAGGGTGGACCCATTTTTGCTGTCAATTGCACAAGTTTTAGAGTTTCTCCAAGATGGTCTCGACAGGGGCCTCTCTCCAAACACTTTAAGATGACAAGTGGCAGCTATTGCCTCAGTGGTGACTTGGGAAGGTCTACCATCCATCTCCCATCACCCATGGATAAAGAGTTTTCTTAGGGGCACCACAAATTTATGTCCACCAGTGGTGCATCGTTACCCGACCTGGGACCTTAACGAAGTACTCACAGTACTCATTTGAACCCCTGAAAACTGTTAACCTCCATTTTCTCACATACAAGGTTGTTTTCCTCGTGGCTATAACCTCAGCGTGACGTATATCAGAAATTGCAGCCTTATTGGCCTGAAAGGACCTCTGTATATTCCATGCTGACAGAGTGGTGCTTCGACCAGACCCCACGTTCACGCCTAAAGTCAATTCTGCCTTCCACAGGTCACAAGAACTAGTTCTCCCTAACTTTTGCCCCAGACCTTCTCAGGGCCTAGAGCATCAATGGCACCAACTGGATGTCCACAGAGCTCTCCGTACTTACTTACCTAGAATGGCTCCTTTCAGAAAGACTGAATCTCTTTTCATATCCTTTCAGCCAACTTGTTAGGGGCAGAAAGTCTCCTCTTTGACTATAGGCAGGTGGCTGAAGGCCACGATAGCCAAGGCATATGAGACTCAAGCACTGCCTGTGCCTAGGGGCATCACGGCCCACTCAACAAGGAGCGCGGCAACTTCAGCGGCCTGGACCACGCAAGCTCCTATAGCAGAAATATGTAGAGCGGTAACATGGGTCTCCCTATTACCTTTCATTAGGCATTACAAAATTGATGTATTTACTTCTGCTGAAGCCTCTTTTGGTAGGAGGGTGTTACGAGTCCACTTGGACAGTGAGGGGGCTCCAACCCAGACGGAGACCCTCCCGTAGGACAAGCCAAGCTTTGGTATGTCCCACTCTCTGGATGCTCGGAGTAGCTCAATGGAGAAGGGGCGTTGGTACTTACTTGATATGCCCGTTCTCGGTTAGCTGCGACGAACACCCAGCCCCACCCAATATCTGTCTGCGTCCTGTTCCAGCCAACGTCATAAGGATATAAGTTTTTTTTAAAAAAACCACAATCAGACCAATAAAGAGGATGGGGGTTGCATCACCTCGTGTTCGCCAAAACTGGGGGACGCTAGGGTGGAGCCAGGGAGGAGTAACAGCATCCTATTCAATTAAGCCCAGCCTATCCAAGCAGAGACTAAGCACCTCCCATTCTCTGGATGCTCGTCGCAGCTCACCGAGAACAGGCGTATCAGGTAAGTACCAACGCCCCTTTTCATTCTCTTGCCTACCTTCCCACCCCCATTGTTGGCTAACAACAGTGTCCCACCTTCCCAACTCTTCTCACCCTTATTGCACCTCCCTTATTTCTCTGCTTTTTAGAGAGCACTATCATCAACCTTAGTAGTAGTCATGATTGACCTCGATGTACAGATGGCTTGCCCCATACTTATCCTTTCTTATAGTGAACTCTTACAAAGTCAGCTCTTAGAAAGTCAGACAATACAATTAGCATAAGGAAAAGTTAAATTAATTCATGCATTGTCAGCCCAATGATGTGCTTGTTTGCACATAGTATTACTTGCTAAATAGATACTTCTTATCAAGTACAGTAAAAACAATTTAAATAAACTGATCCCTTGGCCATGGTTTATTTTATTTCTCATTAAGATCCAGTCCCGATTCATAGTTTTATTTAGGTATCGCTATTTGTTCAGTTTCAGTGTTGCTCAGATCTAAATGATTTATTTGTTTGTTCTTGAATTCTTTTTTCTTTTTTTAGTAAAGCATTACTGCACCAAATTGGCATTCTTAGGTCTCATCATGTTTATAAACCTCTAAATGATCCTCTTGTTTTAAGTGAATATTTTTGGTTTTAGTTCCATTTCCTTATAAAATTAATCAATTACAACTTGATTAACCCATTTTGCTTTTTTCTTCATCTCAGTTCAAAGTACAAGAAAGTGCAGTTTCAGATCATTCTACTTTCTATAGTTGTAGCTTAATTGTATCTTCTATTCATTTAATGATTGAATCATACTGATTAATTCTTAACTGATATTATTATGGTTCTTCAGACTGTGTCTGTTGTTTTTAATGGTCCTTTGTTTTAGATCATTCTCCTACAAAGTTAGAGAAGATAATTAGCATTTCTTATAGTAAACAAGCAATGAGTAAAATGTCAGATGAATTTTAATTATGTTCAAGTTCTATCTTGTTGGCATGGCTGCTCTTTTTAATTTTCTGAATTTTCCTCATATATTTAATAATGTCCCCCAATCTGCGTTAACAAAAATAAAGTTGCTTTATGGATTGTATTTTTTGTTTCCTGTTTATCCAATTATACAGTTTATTTTGATATTTATATTTTCCACCTAGTAAGGTCCTCATGTTCATGTTATTCATAGTACATGTTGAAAATAAATGTATAGAAAACTGTTAGCCTGTGTCCTGTGCTGTTCTGCACCAGTCTATTTCTTCTCTAAATCCAAGTTTTTCTGTTTGTCTGTTTTTTGGATTGCAGGCACTGATAGATAATCCTGTGTCCTTTCTTATACTTGCATTTTGCATCTCTTGCAAATTGTCCTTACTAAAGTGGGCTTTGGTACAGTCGTTGGCTTTGCTTTTGCAGGGCTGTCTTCAGTTTTCCATAACTTCTCTGAAGATCCAGCATTCAGTCCTAAGTCACAAGCAGCATAGTTTGCATATATGTTGTTTCAATTTCAAATTGAGTTTGATTTTAAAATTCAACAAAGATAGATTGATTGGTAGGTAGGTAGTAGGTACCGTGTTTCTCATATAATAAGGCCAGGTCTTATTTTTTTTTGAGCCCCCCAAAAATGGCTAGGCCGTCTTTTCGGGGGTGACTTAATTCCCCCCCTTGCATCCTCAGGCGGGCGTCGTCGGCTTGGATGTTGGCCTCGGCATTGGTGGGGCACTTCATATTTGGAGAACTTCTGCTGCCAATGCTTTCCCTTCTGCCTGTGCTGCCGTGGTCTTTGAAGCATCGCTGCAGCATTTGGTGCAGCCATGCGGGGCCAGTTAGGACTCCTCCCTGCAACTGGAGCCCTGCCGGAGACACTCGGCTTTAGGCGCTCCTGTCGCCGCTTTCCCGGGCATCGTTCGAAGGCAAAGCCCATTCTTTTAAAAACAATGTCCTACTATGACAAAGCCTCCCCCGCCTGAGAGGGCAGCCCAACCCCACGTGAGGAGGTGAATATCCCAGGGCCACAGCATAGGACTGGCCCACCCCGTGAGAAGCGCCCAGCCGCCGTCCCTGCTTGGCGCCAAGCAGAGCTCAAAGAGCCTCGCCTGGGGCACCCTGCGCAGCTGACAGGCGGACCCTCCTGCCTGGCAGCAGAGCTCTGGCCAAGGCAGAGGGCGCCTCCCGCTGGGCCCTCCATTCATCCTGCCTGGGCAGAGATAGGAATACGAGCCGCAGGTGCACGCCTGCCTACCAGGCGAAAGAGCTGGGCCAACTCGAGCTTGGCTTCCCGAGTCCCTCCAGCCTGACCCCGAAGGGCCCACCGGGAGAGGCCACCTGAGGCAGTGATAGCACCCACCCATCCACGGACAGGGAGGCAAGGTGATGGCAGTGCTGTTTCCCTGGCCGGCAGGTCTGGCGGAGGGAGCCCACGGCCACCCATCTTTGCTATAAGGATTCCAGTGCATGCAAAATAGATGTTTGTGCAGGTAAGTTTATCAACCTTGATGCCAACCAAAACCAAGCATTTAATAGTGACTGCCATACCATGTGGCAAGAAAGTAGAGGCAGACAGGCACAACACAGGTTGTGTAGACAGTAAACACAGTGTCAAACATAAAGATCTCAACTGCCATATACAAATCTGGGGAACAAGCAGGGTGAACTCGAACTATGAATACATGAAGGTAAATATGATATAGTTGGAATAACAGAAACTTGGTGGGATGAAACCCATGACTGGAATATACTGGTAGAAGGATACAAACTATTCAAAAAAAACAAAAAAAAACCAGACCCCATAAAAGAGGAGGTGGAGTTGCACTGTATGTAAAAGACCACTATATTGCTACAGAAATGCTTGAAACCAAAGATGAAAACCACCTAGAATGCATATGGGTCAATATAAAAGAAAAAAAGAATGACATGGCCATAGGCATATATTATAGGCCACCCAATCAAGCAGAAAAAATAGATGTCCTTTTTGCCAGCCACTAACAAACATATGCAGGAAACACACAACAATAGTAATGGGAGACTTCAATTATCCTGATATCAATTGGAAATCAAATAAGTTCCTAACCAACCTAGCTGACAACTTTGTTGTCCAAAAGGTAGAGGGTGAAACTAGAGGGACAGCCATACTGGACTTAATTCTTACAAATAGAGAAGAAGTGATAGAGGGAGTTGAAACTGCAGGAACCTTGGGTGAGAGTGACCATGTCATACTAGAATTCAACATAACACAAACAAGCAACAGAACATAATGACACCAGAGTCTTGGATTTTAAAAGAGCTGATTTCAATAAACTCAGAGAGAACTCAGGAAAGATTCCATGGATGAAAATCCTAAAGAGGAAAACAACTCAAGAATCTTGGGAAACTCTAAAAAGTATGATCATAGAAGCCCAGACCAGCACAATACCACTGAGAAAGAAAAACAAGAAATCCAAGAAGAAACCAGCATGGCTACAAAAAGATCTCTCTGGCAAATTTAAAGAAAAAAAGGACAAGTACAAAAAATGGAAAGAAGGACGTACAACTAAGGCAGAATATCAGCAGATCGCCAGAATCTGCAAAGACGAAGTCAGGATAGCAAAGGCTCAGAACGAACAAAGACTTGCAACAAAAGTCAAAGATAATAAAAAAAGTTTCTTCCAACATATAAATAACAAGAAAAAATCAAGGAAACAGTCGGTCCACTAAAGAGAGAATATGACAAGGAAGTAACAGGCAACAGAGAGAAAGCAGAACTGCTTAACTCATTCTTTGCATCTGTGTTCACACAAAAAGAAACTATAGCTCAACCCAACCAAAACATAACTGTAAAAGACAGACCAGAAATAAAAGTTAAAATAATGGGAAGTAAGCAGTGGGGTGTAATCCTTTCCACCCCTCGCCCATCCCATTCCCGCACATCTCCAAATGTACCGGCAGCTCCAAACATGGTGGCGATGCTCCAAATGCTGCAGCGGCACAGTCAGAGGTACTCGCTCAATGGGGCTTGACTCGGAGGAGGACATGGGCCATCACCTTGCTTTCCTGTCCATGGACGGGTGGGTGCTATCACTGCCTCGGGTGGCCTCTACCGGTGGCCCCTTTGGGGTTGGGCTGGAGGGATTTGGGAAGCCAAGCTCAGGTCAGCCCAGCTGTTTTGCTTGGCAGGCGGGCACGCACCTGCAGCTCGCTTCTCCGGCTCTGCCCAGCCCGCCCAGCTCTGGTGCGGCCCTGGGGGGATGAGCGGAGGGCCCGGCGGGGAGGCGCCCGCTGCCTTGGCCAGAGCTCCACCTGTCAGCTGCTCGGGGCACCTCAGGCGAGGCTCTTAGCACTCTGCCCGGTGCCAGGCAGGGACGGTGGCTGGGCGCTTCTCCCGGGGTGGGCCGGTCCTGCGCTGCGGCCCCAGGAAATTAGCCTCCCCACATGGGGTTGGGCTGCCCTCTCAGGCAGGGGAGGCTTTGTCGTGGTATGGTGTCATTTTTAAAAGAATGGGCTTTGCCTTCGAACGATGCCTGGGAAGGTGGCGATAGGAGCGTTTAAAGCCGAGTATCTCCGGCTGTGACGCTCCAAATGCCGGGGCAGCATGGGCAGAAGTTGAAGCAACAGCAGCAGAAGGTCTCCCGATACAAAGTGACATACTGATGCCAAGTGACCATCCACGCCGACGCTGCCCATCTGCTGAACTGGCCTGCAGGCAGCACCATACCCGGGTCTGCAGCAAAAGTACTTGGCGAGAGTAGGGAGGTTGGTGGTGAGACATGGTGGCTGCCTGAAGGGCACTCATAATGGCAAGCCCCCTGCCCTTCCCCCCATTTTGCATGTTTTAAAATAGGCCTAAATTTGGGGGGAGGGGCTTAATTTCATTTTATGCCTATAAAACATGCTGGGACTTCCTATTGGGGGAGGCCCTATTGTTGGAGAAACATGGTAGGTAGGTATGATTTCATAATGTGAATGCCAAGACAGAAAAGGCCTTAGGCCTAGGGCTTGCCAGTTGTAGCTCTTTAGATAACTGAACACATAATATACCCACCCTGTTGGATCTGGTGGGACAGGATTAAATCGGGAAGAG